GAAATTCAGATTCTGCTTAAACTCTCCGTCCTCCTGACTTTGTTAAATTATTATTTTCCACTCACTTGCCAGGGTGAACAACGCGAATCTCCTCATTCTTTTCCAAACATGCCATGACCCTCAATTTCCCAATTTGTGTATTGCCTCCCCACCACACCCCATAATTCCTGCTCCAAGAGTGATACATTCATTATCGTTTATCCTCAAGATCCAGTCACCAGTTTTTGGCTCAATGTATGGCGGCACACTTTGCGGGATTGATTTTAGCTTGATCAATTGCTGCATGAATTTTTTTGTTGACATCCCCCAATGCTCCTTTTTAAATTACTTGTGAAAGGTGTTTCACTTTTTCCTTATCACCAAGATCACTGAAACTAGAGGCAACAGCGATGTCGGTCGCTGTCGTAGCTTTTCCACCAAACACGAGTGCTTCGGTTGTCAGCGTTTAGCCAACGGTTATTCCATCCTAAAACGAATAGAAGATCAATTTGCAGTATAAATGCATAACGCATCAATTCAATTTCCTGATAAGCTTTGAATGAATGAATTTAAGATTTTAATAACAAATCTGAGAAAACGATGGGAAAGCGTTTCAGTGTCACATTTCTCTATTGAAATCAGCAAGCAACTTAGCACTTTCTTATCTCAAACTGTATGTGGAAGGACATGACGTTCTTTGCATTTTAAACCTTCTAAAAGTTCTCTCTTCGAAAATAACAAGTAGCGCAAGCAAAATGCTTAGACCTTTTCATAAAGTCCTCGTTAGCTTTTACTGTCAGTATACTTTGAATTTCTTCAAGGGTTTATTATCTCTGGGGCATTGGGAGCGAGCCAGGAAGGGCTGTGCAGGACCATTACCTGCACTACCTAATACCTTTTACGTCCTTGTCGGCTTCTAGTCTTCAAAATACATCCTATGGCATTATCTGACATTCATATAGATCGCACAGGGCGCTCCAAAAATGAAAAGACACAGATGAAACAATTCAAGTGTTCTTTACGACAGACAAGACAATCCTTTTCACATAAGAAGTCTACCACTTAAATAATCAGGTCTAAAGAACGTAAACATTCACCGTTTGCATAGTTTATTGCATCCGTTTCATCGTTCCACTTTTCTTGTTCCGCTTTCCGTTCGTATTTCTTTCCTTTTCCGCCCTGACTGAGTACAGTAAACACCCGCATATAAGAACACATGAATTAAGAACATCAGGCTGAAATTTTGCAAATAAAGCACCATTTTTATAAGAACAAAATCAGCCGGGAAATATAAAATGTTCTTATAAAGTGGATAAGACAGTAAAAAATTCTGATCACACAGAGGCCTGCTGCCAGACAACCACAGCTCATCAGCTGTGATGCTGCTTTGCATTTTCTTTTAGCTTTTTTCCCTTCAAAATAATCTACGTAGTTTATACTTGAAGGGAGACTTACAGTACTGTGCTATTCTTAATACACCTCGATTTCAACAACAAAATTTAAGAACAATTTAAGAACACCTTCAGGCTGATTTTTCACTAAACTCCCGATAAATAAGAACCTGATCAGCCTGACCTCCAAAATCATGTGTTCTTATATGCGGGTGTTTACTGTATTATCATAACACATTTTTTGTATTTTGTTACCCTAACATGCTCAAATGGCTTAGTACTGGAACGATAAATTTTGCTTTCATAAAAACACTGAAATTTCGGTTGAGCTTTAGCGCGAAAACATGAGTTGCTCTTTAGGGAAAAGACTATTTCTCTTATGTTTACGAGTTAAATCGCGAGTTCCACGGTGGCGCTTTTATTAAAGTTGACTCGCTTCAGTTTTCGAATAGAGGTCAAAGTTTATTACATAATATGAGAAAAAAAAGAAGAGATAGGTCATTTACGACCTCAACATTTTCTACAAATTTCACTATTGTGTGCATTTTTAAATTAGACAGTCGAGTTGCTTGTCACTGCATTTTTTTCAAAGTAATTTTAAGGGGCTATCCTAAAATAGTGGCCAACAGAATCTCTGAGATACAAAAAAATGCCATTGTTAGAGCATAGATCACTGATATGACTAGTAAAACTCAATTTTTCATCGATTTGAACTCCTAAAAGCCGTATTTCCCCCATTCTCTTAATAGTATGACCGTCAACAGAAAAATTTTGACTATCGTTGTCTTTGTAAACATTTCTCGTGTTGATCGTTAATAGCTGGAACTTTTCTGGGTTGGTTGAGAGATAGTTGTTCTTGTACCAGGATAGAGCTTTCTTTCCATGTATCTTGAGACTTTGGGCGACAACGTTATGCTTCTTCCCCATGACATACATCTGATGGTGGTCGGCATACCTGCTCAAATTAGCATTACTTATATAGAATGACATATCATTTTGGAACAAATTCCACAGTAAGCCTTAATGAGTTTGGTATTTCAATCAATTTATTTAACACGTACACCAGATATTACCTTTCATACTACATCGCTTGTCATCGCTATAGGTTGCTGTCGACACGACCAATTTCATCTGCTATTAAGGAGCTATCTACAATCATTAGGAGCTAGACCAAAGTAGGTTTCCCTTTATTTTAATGTAAAGATATTTCATTTTGTTCGGTTCGCACGGTTTATTTCTCGCTTTCAGTTTACTTTATAATCGGTTCATCGTTAAAAATGGCTGTTACATTTCTCAAAGATACTTTCAAAGTTTAGCTTCTACTGTATTTTATTTTAGTTCGAACCACACACGCACACACAGACACAGAGTCACGCACTAAATTCAGCCACTTAAATTCGGCTACAGCCATCAATCTTAACTACGCTACCTTCAAGCTAGACTTCGCTGCTCTCATCTGTGATTCCACACCGATACCTTCATTCTCGTTTGTGTTTTGATTATGATCCTCGTTTAAATAAACCGTGATTTATATTGTGCGTTCGAATTGTCTGCTCCGCTCTGCTGGTAACCTTTGGATGTTACACTCTTAGCTTATCATTATTAATTTCATTATTGAAATTCAACATTCTCATTAAGTAAAAATTTTCCTAACTATCAACGCTGAGCGAGGGTAACAACAGCTAAGAAAACCCGATTGACTGAAAAATGTCACATCTACATGGAAGGTCTTGAGCGATACTTTGGAAAATAAAACGTTCTGATTACAACTTTCTTTCTCTTTTACCACATGTAGATAGTAAGGATACAGCAGTCCTCAAATATTGAAAGAGACCTTTGCTATGTTTTACGTGTACTATGTGACGTTCGCCTTGCTAAAATTGTTACTCGGGTTCTTGTTTTATCGTAATCTAACAATTACCTTTCACAATTTTAAATCTACGGAGAGATGTTCCCCATAAGAGAAGACTCAAGCGTACCATGCATATACATCAACACAAGTTTTACCACTGTTGTTTTCATCATGATCGTCTTTCAAATCCTGTCCGTACCATATCTGCATCTCTTGGTTGCTCCAAACAGACAACGGAGTGACGAGGCTGCGAAAAATCAGCTCAGATGAATTATGGTGATATCCAGGAAGACTGTAGGAATCCTTATTCAAATCTTCAGCAGGCGGAAAGACAGGTTTCTTATCGGCATCTGTAATGATTGTCATCAACTTTCTTCCGTATTCTGAGTGAGCGCAGCCCCAATAAGATGCACCAGCCGTAGGGTTGCAGAGCACCGACCCTGATCTGTGAATAAGCTTCATTGTCTTCACTCGTCCACTCTTTGTCATATTGAAGGAGCCATAAAAATTATCTTTGGCTCCAAAGCAGACGGGTTCTTCACCATTTATCTTTTGCCAGCTCTCTAAAATAAAGTAATGCCCTGATAGGATAAGTAGAAAGTTTTGAAAGTTCAACTGTATGATAAATGTAGCTAAACAAATGGTAACTAACACTGCCATTTGCAAGACAATTTCCTGTAATAAAAACCGCTTCCTTTTCGGCGCCGTGATCTTATTATTTGTTTTAATCTGTTCGTGGTCGTCAATCAATACGATGTTGCTACATCGGTCTGTAACCAATCAGAGAGCCGGATATCGCAATTCAAGGGTAAGATTGTAAACAATGAGGCACGCATTTAGCATATGGCACAAAAAGACACGCAAACTAAACTTTTAAACATAATTTATTGGTCTTATCCTTAAATTTACTAAACAATCGTTGTGTTCTTTGTTTCCGAAAGAAAAGATTGTTTAATCAGTTTAAAAAGAAACAGTTTCGCAAGACGTCTGTTAGTTATTCTGAACGATGGAAACGCACGTTAGATCTAAATCCCTTAGGATCTTTTAGGGTTGAGTGGGTGAATATTCAATGACATGTTCCAAAACATTATCGCATTTATATCTAAAAACTTCTATTTTTTTCAATTTTTTCAATGAATTTCTTTCTTGTAATCCGTTCCATGTTTTTGAGCGAAGTCTGGCTGGTACTATCAAAGCGTTCGTAATATGTTTGGTTAATAAAAAAGTGCTTCATACTAAGTTTTTATAAAAAGATCAAAGTCCCAATGAACCGATTCTGCGTCGGGGAATATTTAATCCTTAAACTCTATTATTCGCATCTCATTGAAAGATATTCAAGTGAGAAAATAGAATTGTCAACGTGGACAT